TTTTAATCTTTCTGATTTCATTCATAAATTCACCTGTGTTTACATCTGGTTGGTTTATGATGATATTTTAGTGCATCCAATTCCATAGTAGTCAGGACAGAGGACTATGTTAGCATTTAGTACACCCCATCTCCCACCAATCTGGTAAGTATAAGTAGGTCAGGACAATTCAATAAAGTGATGTGGCTCTGTCTTCCTCAGGAAGCTTATATGGCTTTTTCTTAGGTGCACTCATTCTTCCAAAATATATAGTTTATTTAGCATTTACTTAATTTGGTTATATAGTAAAGAGTATTGTCTGCCTCTCTCAGTACATATGTAATATGAGTTTTATACATATTATTGAATACTACTTATTTAAATGATAAAGTTTCCCACTCCATCAAGAACAAAAGAAAGACAAAAAGAAAAACAGAAACAGAAACAAAAATGCTACAAATTTTAAGAGTGGTCTTGCAACAGAGGAAAGAAATTTATTCACTGGTGTAGATGATGTTTCATTTTCTATGGCATCATATCACACATTAATATAACTAGATCTCTACTAGGAATATAATGGAATCATAAGAGAAACTTCTCAAGAGTTTTATATCCTTGCTCATGTTTGTTTCAAATTTTGACAGACCTTTCCAGGAGGAGAAAATCTACATTTAGAAGAAAATTGTCATATCTAGATATTGAACCTCTCAATGTGATTATGGTCCATCTTATTTCCATTTCTATTGTTGATAATTTTTTCATATACTCCAAGTAAATAGTGATTGGGAATATGTCAGCATGACATTATTCCCATTACATTCTGTCAAATGTTGAGGAACGAAGTTGGAAGGAAATGTTTTCAACCTAGAATCTTGTCATACATTCACTCTCCTTGGGCTATTCCAGTTCTGTAGGCTGAAAGGGACATAATTGATTTATTTCCCTGAAAATTCCACTTCACAGTTTTAGCAAACACCTTTTCAGACAGAAAATATTCTTTCAGATAATTGTAGTTTGGCAACTTTCTTTGAGACAGCAGAGTGACCTGTAGAAATTTTAGGCTGTTTCTTGATTTCAGCCATGTTGCAGACAGTTTTGACCCCTTATCATAAGCAAAGTAAGGAGGCTTTTAACCAATCTACTTCCCAAGGATCAATCAAAT